TCATCAGGATTTACCCATGCAAGAATAACCTTCTACTTAGGTAGGAAGCGTTTATGCTTAAGGAAAAAGTATAGGAAGAAAACAAAGGTTCTAGGAAGCAGCTTATTTAGAAATCAGCTTTTTAACGTGGACAAAAAAATAAAAATAAAAAGTAAAAATAAAAAGCATCTTGTAACTAGATTTTTTAAAATCTATATATTCCTTAGACTATGAACTTTTTTATTTAAAAATTAAATTTTATTTATTTATTTATTCATTCTATAGACTAAGTGTCTCACAGTTTAAAATTAGCTTTTCAATACATCATTACATAATTATATGTCAAGCAAAATTAATTATTGATTATAGATACACAAATTTTACAAGGAATGGAGGCCCATACATGCCTACTTCCTTTCACTTAAATTCTTAAAATAATATTTTTTTTCTCTCTTCTTTTCCCATTCAAACAAGGAAGTCAACCTCAACCTCATCCTTCTTTCCCATATTCCTTTCTGTTCCTCCACTTTTCCCTTATACCAAACGCATGTTAAAAAGTCCATAACAACTCTCTAATCCCTGTAGTTATTTGAGCGACCATCTTAATGAGCCAATCCCAACTAGCATCTAATCCACCGTTCTACGAATTTGGAGTAAAATCATGTATAGGAAAACTAAAGGCCTAATATGGTGTTTGGTGCTTCAAATTTTTATAATAATGAGCTTGGACTTCAAGTTCCAAAGACTGAAAATGTCAAAAGTTAGAAGCTTGCTGCTTTTAAATCAAGCTACATACCATGGATTGATGTTGTCTGTGTGTCTCTTATGACTCCAAAACAGAAAAGTGGGTTCACTCTCCACAGTGGGTTTTGGCTGCCATTCTTTTTTGCGTAGACATGAAGATGAAGGGCCCATTGCCAAGCATGAAAACTCCAAGTTCGAAGACAAATGCATGGGTATACGACTAATTTAAACACACAACTGACTGTTGGCACTGCTTCGTGATGTAATTGTACCTCCCTTGGGATTGCATGTGCTCCCATAGTGAGTTGAGAAGGATGTATGAGCCCATTGGGATTTGTTTTTGAGAATTGTTCCTTATTTTCGAAAGTAAATGACAAAATTATTTTCAAAATTTTCAGAATTCTCTCGCACTAAACTGAAACCGACATGAATAGAAAAAGTTGAAACCACAGGAAAAACAAAATGAAGGTAGATGGGAATTGGCAAGTAAAACAAATAGGGTTTCAAGATAAGCTGTTATGCCGTCCCTTGAAAGGATGATGATGTGGAAAACACATGGCAACTCCCATTTGACAGTGCCAAGTAAGAGAGATTAAAGAGAAACAGATTAACAATTACGTTTATGTTAATTAAGCTCCCATTTCATCCCAAAAATATTAATGAGAAATAAATAAGAATTAACAGTAAAACTTGTTGGGCATCTAAAAGGTCCGTGAGTGGAGGGAAGATGAGGTGACCTTTGTTCTGTGGGCCTCGTGGTGTACAAACAAACGTATGAAGACACATTTTTCATACGAAATTCTTCAAATATTACTAGAGATCAAAAGTTCTTCCCAACTGAAGTTTCACGTGCCCAACAACCGCACAGCTTAGATACATACATTGAGACAAGCATCACTAGTTTTTTATATATATACATATATATATATATGGAGAGAGAGGGAGAGAGAGACCTAGTTTTGGAAGCCTACGGAGTCTACAGACATGATAGAAAATATTTTATAGTGAAATAAAAAAGCTACTTCTTTTTTTCTTGGCTTCAAGTTCTAGAATGATCTGTGATTCCCTTTTTCACCGGCCACCCTAATTTTGGAAATTGCTCTTTTACCAGTTGTCCTGTTTGTAATGAAAATTGTGATGATAGAGTCTTGTTTGACTATGAAGAGAAATGGATAAAAGAACAAATAGCGATAGGCACATGTCAAGGGCCACAAGAGGTGGGTTTTCATCAAACTCATTCCCTCTTTCCTTTCTCCTAGTCTATTTGACAGTATTGAATTTCTAAACTTTTTGACTAGAGATTGAAAATGCTTAAATAAATTAAATTAGAAAAGTTGGCAACTTATTTGGTACTCAAACTCTGTAAGCCCCAATCTGACGGCTTGTCTGAAAAATCTGATGCAGGGTATTTGAACTTTAGAGCTTAAAGAAAAGTTTTAATACGAGGAAAAAAAACTTTACAAATCTTGAAGAAATGAAATTCTCAAACTTCAAAAATGTCTGAAAATAAACTAATCATATAGTGAAACTTTTCATGTGGGTAGTTGCTCATGGTCCTGGAGCCTTGACAGTTGAAGCAAAGCTGCCAAGGCAAGTGCGTGCAGGTTGGTTACTACTCCCACCACACAGCAGATCTGGAATGGAACAAAAGGGGTTGCCCCTATCCAACACCCAATCCCTGTGCAGCTGCTGTGCTTGCGGTTCACGAGCACTCAAAGTTCACGAGTCATGTTTGCGCAAAAAGACGGCTTGGGAAGGTCCTACTAAGTCCCCCCCCCCCCCCCCTTTTCCCACCCAAACTAAACTCTCTCAAAATTAGTACTAAGTTCTGATTTAGTGAGTTAATGACTGATACCTATCAAACGAATGGGTTCTCATGCCTCCCTCTTTCTCCGACTATCTGCTTGACATATGTTTTTATGGTGGTCACAGCCCTCAGCACAAAGCAAAACTAGGGACCCAGTTTCTATTATTTACTGTGTGTGTGTGTCTATATATATATATATATATATATATAACGAAAGTGTAATTTATATCATCCGATTTGCATGTAATTTCTGAAATTGCCACGGCGATAAAGGGAAGAAGTATATGGATTTGGATTGAGGCTGTGGCTTACTATCATGTGCATTGCACGTGTTGTACCTAACAGTAATCTTCTTTGGCGAGGTGGTTTTTCAACTTTCCCACAGAGAAAGCTCAAAGCTAACAATAAGTACTTGGGAAATTAACTTGAAAGTATTTGTTAAAAATGAAATATTGAAGAGGAAAAGGTGATTGGATTAGTACTCAAATCTCACAAATGGCTGCCAAGTCCAACCGTCACAACAGACAACTGTTCTAGAGAGAGAGCGAGAGAGAGAGAGAGAGAGAGAGAGAGAGAGAGAGAGAGAGAGAGAGAGGTTCCAGGGAAAGGGATGGATGGAGGAGAGAGAAAAAGGGGTCAAAGTTCTAAGAAGTAATCATGTGGGTGATGGGGTGATGACAATGAGCTGCGGTGAAGCATTTTTGGAATTGAGAGGAACCGATTATAAACGTTTTTTAAAGCAACCTGTTCTATTTTCAAAATCAAATCTAAGCAAGCAAGTTTTGCGATTTCTACAGGTGAATTCTTTTTTAGAAAAAACAGAAGCCTCTCTTAATACACCAAAAAAAAAAAAAAAAAAATCTATTTGTCAAAAAATTCCACATTTTTATCATTCCAAACACCGTCTTTCTCACATGAGAACGGAAGGATTAGCTGTCTCGAAAGATACCCAGAAATCCTAGATCTTCCCTGCATCAGAATTTCAAACCCCCTCGGCCATTGGCATGCTTTTCTTTGTTGTAAAGATATCCATCTCCACATGGTTCATATGTTACCTAAAAGGTTTTTCCTTCCTTAAATTATTGTTTTCGTATCTCATGGTTTAGTATATAACCTTGTCTGCATATACCCATTTGATAGAAACGCAGAACAATAGAGGAATTGAATTTAAAAAATGAAAAAAAAAAGCCCTTGCCAAACCAGACTTTAATGCCCTTCAAAAAATAAACGAAAAAGAAAAACGGACCTTAATAGAGCTCTTCTTTATTTCTTTTTTGTTTTTTGAAATAAGATAATTCCGACCTCAAAGTAGTTTGGAAAAGGAAAAAACACTTTCACAATTCCAGCCGCAAGGAATAACTCTGTGAAGTGTTTAAACAAAAACCTGCCGTGTCGCCCTCCCTCCTCTGAGTTCCTTTTTTGCAAGAAGAAAAGCAGGGTCATTTTTAAAAGTTAATTTTTTCTATTTTAAGATAATTAAATTCTTCTTTTAAAATAAATAATTAAGCCTTTTTAAATAAATCTAAACTGTCCAATAATACACAAATAATTTACATTATGTGAATTTTAATTTTAAAATATAGACAAAAAGAAAAAACATGTTACATAAAACTTGGCGCAACTGAGGAGAGGGGTCAGTGGGAAGCGGGTACCGTAGATGAGTTGAGAAGGGCAGAGTACAAAGACTGGACTGGCGGCCCGTGAAGTTGCATGTGATCATAAAGAGCTGTAATAATCAGTGCCCTCGACATATAATAGACCCACTCACGTGTCTCTTAGCTTTTGCATGAATCGAAATATTATTAAATAAATAAGCACATAAGAGCAATAAAAGAAATTGATTGTGTTGAGGTACCACAGAACAAAGCCACCGAAATTTGTGTGCATTCCTTCCAAAGTACAACCTTTGATGCCTGAAACTTCTCTGTTTAAGTATGTTTTTGCTTTTGAGTATAAAAAATTTGAGGGACATTGTTTTCTTTTTCCTTACCTAATAAAGAATGCCAAACATGATCTTTTAAATTAACAAGGTTACCAAAGTTATGTACTGCAAAGTAGAAGAGAAAACTATTTTCTTATAACAATTGGGTCAATGCGGATACGAAATACTGTTAGACAACGTTCGGAAGAGGAAAAATGAAAAAGTAAAACAAGGAAGCTTGAAGGATGACATTTGTGCATGAGCAAAATGGATCAAGGAGTCACACGCAGCCACATATTGCAAATGGTGCTGCAAAAAATGGGACCCCCAGAATTTGAAGAGAGCCAAAGAGCCCAACCAAAAGTCACAAAGAAGGGGAGAGAGCCATTAATAAAAGAGAAAAGGTAAGCTTGGAAATGAAACATAAATGCCTAGCATTTTTCTTATGCCTCCACAGTCCCCTGAGCTTCCTCCTATTTAATCCCCATACCCATCTCCGATTTTCAGCTATCGCACAAGATCTCTCTCTCTCTCTCTCTCTAACATAACATGGGTGCATTTAGTTTGAAGAGTCTCGCATTTGTTCTGCTCATTCTATTAGCCATTTGGTCATCTCAGATGGACACATGCAATGCCAGAAGAGGCAAGCACTGGCGGCACAGAGGCGGCGCCTTGAGTTCTCTGTACAAGAAGAAAGGCAAGAACCACCATGGCGGCAGCAGCAGCTACCACCACGGCAATGCTGGAAAACCGAAGTACAAGGCTTTGTCACCACCGCCTCCCCCGCCACTAGGAGAGGGCAAGGCTCTCCGAAGAAAGGTTATGGCAAGAAGCCCTCCTCTGTCTTCAATGTACTAGACTTTGGGGCCAAGGGCAATGGAGCTAGTGATGACACAAAGGTATCCTTCAAATTCTGTAATCATGTTCACTGTAATTGGAGTGGATGAACCATAGACTTCATATGCAAAAAGACGCAACGGTTCAGAATTTAGTTTTCATCAGTCTTACTCTTTAGCCCCTTGATCACGATGGCAAGAATTTTCTCCATGTGCTAGGGAAGAAGTTTGAGAAGAGAGAAAAAATAGGGCCTAATTCCTTACTATATTTTTGATATTAACGGGTAAACGAATTTCTTTAATTCCCATACAAACTTCAAAAAGCCGCCCGGGTCTTCGTTGGATTTTGTTTTTCATTTTTCTTTTGGAGCTTTCAGAACAGAGAAAACTGACAATATTGAGCTTTCTACTAATTTTTCTTCGAAAATTACTAAATTACTATTAAGAATTCTGGAAAGGAGCTTTTTTTTTTTCTGGAAATCTCCCCAGAATACTTTTCCAAATGAATTTCTTGTTTTTCAAAATAAATCCAAACATGCTCAGAACTGTTTCTCAAAAGCAAGGCTCTCCTTTCTTTTAATTTTTAAGAGAAAAACACAAAAGAATGCAAAAAGTAAGCTGGGTCACCATAGAGCCAGTATATGACGAAGGGTATTATGGTCAAATCCGCTTAGCACTAAGTCACAAGGATAGTACAACAAACTTGTTGGCAATTGCTACAAGTATCAATAATGAACAAATCTCTGTCATAGAAATATGCCGCACTATAAAACAAAAAGAAGCTAGTAAAGGGAAGAAGCAACAGAACTTCCAGAATGCAGGACAACAAAATCCAACTGAGGCCCACCCAATCGACTCCTGCATGGGGCAATTTGGTAAAGATTCTAAGTTAAACAATAATTGCCTACTGTTCTGTACAAACTCCCCAAGTGTATGATTTTTTATAAACCCGTTACATTCTTTACAGCTGGTTAGAATGATTAGGAAGTGGAAAACACAAATAATTTATACTCACCGAAAGGAAAATTGCATTTCTATGGCACAGGCATTCCAAGCTGCATGGGCGTCTGCTTGTAAAGTAGAGGCATCAACGATCTTGGTCCCGCCGGGATACAAATTCCTGGTGGGACCCATTTCGTTCTCCGGTCCTTATTGCCAGCCAGACATTGTCTTCCAGGTAACCCTGACTCCCACTGTAAGAAAGTCTAGCTCTCCGTATTCGCATGTGACAACTGTTTCTGTTTTCAAAAATAAAACACCAATTTGTGCCACTTGTTTTTATAAAATGTTTTCATGAAAATCGTCAGAAAACAATAGAATATTTTAACATTTCCAGCTGAAAATAACAACTGGTAAACTACAAACAGAAAGGAAATACAACTCCATACAGAAGTTCGCGTTCTATTTTTCTACAATGATGCATTGCTAGTTCTCCTAGAAGTAACTTTGATCTTGTTGCTGGATTTTGACTTCTCCTTGTCACTCGATCCCCGGTTACGAGAATCGTTACTTTGATATTAAACAGCTAGAATGTTTTCTGAGGCTAATAAACATGTCTTGCCAGCTTGACGGCTCGATCATTGCCCCAACAGACTCCAAAGCTTGGGGTTCAGGTCTCCTGCAATGGCTTGAATTCTCAAAATTAAAAGAATCACAGTCCAAGGAACAGGCACAATTGACGGAAGAGGCTCCGTCTGGTGGCAAGATTCACCATATGATGACCCCATAGATGATGAATCAAAACTTATAATCCCATTAAACCGAACATTTAAAGAAAACTCACCAACTCCTGTAAGCATAATTCTCACCTATAATCTCTTCCTCTGCATCTAATTTCTCCTCATCTAATCCTCACTGTTCTCTGTATGTCAAATATTATATGGCAGGTAAGGAGTTCACTTGGTGGGAAAATGCCATATATAAAGCCAACTGTAAGGACCAACTCAGAATTCTGAAATTGCTAAATTAATCGTGCAATAGTAATACTAAATTGATGATAATCTTACATTGGCTCTACAGGCACTTAGATTCTATGGGAGTTTCAATGCAACAGTCACAGGCATAACAATTCAAAACAGTCCCCAGTGCCATCTCAAGTTTGACAACTGCTTTGGAGTTTCAGTATTCAACATAAATGTCTCATCTCCTGGTGATAGCCCCAATACTGACGGAATCCACTTACAGAACTCCAAAGATGTGATAATCCGCAGCAGTAATCTTGCATGTGGTAATGTATTATTTTGCATGTTATGCTTACAACCTGACAGAGGGTATAATACTTGGGCTATGAAGTGACAATAACAATAAACGTCCAGGAAAACTAATGATATTTCTACCTCACTTTTAACAGCAAATGATAGAAGAACTTTTATACCACAACTTCATATCATACAATAGACTTACCCTATCATTCTCAAACTATAAAATTCTTGCATCAAGTATGTGGGGCATCAAGATCTCAAGTTAAATTTTATGTGCAGGAGATGACTGTGTTTCCATACAAACCGGATGCACAAATGTATACATACACAATGTGAACTGTGGACCTGGACATGGCATCAGCATTGGGAGTCTAGGAAAGGATGCCACAAAAGCCTGTGTGGCAAACATCACTGTTCGAGATGTCAACATGCATAACACAATGAATGGTGTTAGAATAAAAACATGGCAGGTAAAAATAACAGCAGCCTCTCTAGTCACTTGGCATTTTGGGATCATGCATTACACTTTCAAGCCCAAAAAGCCCAGAAGCCACGTTATTGTTGCTTCTCATCTTATGGCCCAGTCAGCTAGAAAGCTACAATAACATGGCTCCTTGGCTTTTTGGGCTTGAAAGCAATTTTTCCATTTACCAGTAGGAATTGCCATATAGAGTCAAGTAGAATCAAGTTTCAGGCAAGATAATTTCGGAAATTCTAGAGCTTTGACATTGGAAAACAGTTCAATTCACCAAGAAAATTTCCACATATTCTATAAAGAAAAATTCAGAAACCCCAATTTCCTCAATGTTTTTCTGGTGAAGAAAATAAATATGATATAATAACTTACCATCCATAAATCCAATCTCCACATGCAGGGTGGATCAGGCTCTGTTCAAGGAGTACTCTTCTCAAATATTCAAGTTTCTGAAGTTCAACTCCCAATTGTAATTGACCAATATTATTGTGACAAAAGAACATGCAAGAACCAGACATCTGCTGTATCCCTATCAGGAATCACATATGAAAAGATAAGAGGAACTTATACAGTGAAACCAGTACATCTTGCCTGCAGTGACAACCTGCCATGCGTGGATGTCACACTAACAGACATAGAACTGAAACCCCTACAAGAACAGTATCACTTGTACAATGTCTTCTGTTGGCATACTTTTGGACAGTTGAACTCTCCCACTGTGCCACCAATTGATTGCTTACATGTTGGCAAGCCATCAAATAATTGGATTCAGACTAACCGTGACACATGTTAAGCCTGTGACAAAGGTATATTCTGGTGTTATCACTTGTGTGGTCAGTGAAATTCCCTGACTCCTGACACACCATTGGCTGGCAAGGTAATAGTGCATATTCTAGAAGTGGCAGTTTTTGGATTTTTTTTTCCTTAAATCAGGGTTACATGGGTATTGTATCAGCCTAAAACATTGTCAGTAGCATAGAATATGATAGTTGTAATGCAGACTCATCTGCAATAGTAAGTTTTCACTGTCGGATAGATGTACATGCTTTATATGAGATGCGTGACAAAAATAAATCTCCACTTTATGCATTTATAATTGCTATCATGGAGTAAGCGAAAATGGATGATATTCAAGGTTTCTCCTGTAAAGGAGAAACATGTTGTTCTCATATATAAAACATATAGACGAATGAATACCATATTTCAAAAAAGCATCCATTACCATCTTTCAAAAGAACATCCATTAACCATTTAACATAACACAGTTCCTGAAATAAGCAAATTGGTCATGGAGAAATATGTATGAGGCAAGGATGTGGTCAACAAGTTGTCCATGTAAGGAACACAGAAAACTAAAGGCAAAAAAATTTTAAATCTCAAGCAAAGCACAGGCGAGAAACAAATAATTTCTAGTGGAAACTATGGGTAAATCACACCTTGACAAGAACTATGGCATTAAAAGAAACAATAATTCACAAAAATTATGGGCAAAATGAAATGAAAAAGATTCAACCATTCCCACTTGTTTCAATAAATTCAATTTACCCCAGCCCGTACTTTAAAATGGAGGCAATATTACATGTCAACTGTGGTATGAAAATGGAATATAAGAGTAGCAGACCAACAAGGGGATATTGAAATTAACTAATTGCACTTATTATTTGAAAGAAATTGAGCACAAATATTATTATAATATCTTATGCATACACAAATGGAACAGAGGACGACTTACACCAGATTAAGCATCAATATCTCCTAATCAACCAAAAAATCTAGCAAGGGGTCAAAATATATAACCAGTGCAAGCCACACCATGACAGAGTATTCATCAAGGCTTTCTCTTGCTGAGTGTTCCATCAATCACAGCCCAGCCACTCCTACAAGAAATATGAAAGGACAAACAATAAACAGATGGGAAGAATGATTATCCTAAATCTAATGATCTGACCTGAATGCGAATGAAGCATAAAAAGCTTGAGTCATTTTGATAATATAGTAGACACACGAGATACAAACACAATGTGGCAACCTCAGAACATGTCTTTCTTTAGTGAAAAGGCATCCTGACAGCATAATTCAAGCAGCAAGAATCAATTCTCACAACTTACCAAGTCATTTCTTAGTGAAAATACTTGATTTTTCTCATGAAATCCTTTTAAGTATCATGTTCTTCATGCACCTGTCATAAAAGTTGAATTCTGAAGGACAGTCGTAAGAAGACAGAAGATAAAGGACACGTGTAATTGAGAAAACTCAATTCAACGAGTTGAAATACAGTAAAGACCCAAAAAAAAGGGAAAAAATAGCTTTGTAATAAAAGAGGGGGAAAAATAGCTTTTTATGGATTACATTATCCCATTTCAGTGCCAATCCCATCAGTGAGATCATTGCACTCTTCTGATGCAATAAGGACTTTGACTAATCCTTACCATGATATCAGATTAGGAGATTACAACCAATAATGATAATGTTTGCCCCAATGAAATATCTGCTCCATGTTTCGCTATCAAATTTGCATGATAGCTGTGAAGCATGACAATGGCATTCCATGAACAATCAACTTACGATTAGCATGGACCAAAAACAGAAAACCTACAACAGCTCTAAAAAGCATCCATTAATCTGAATCACGAAGTAAACTTTTAACGCGAAGTACCGTCGCATTAAGTCCTTCTCAATTTTTAGGTTCCAGAAAATTGTATTGCAAACTAATGTACAATTTCCATTCAACTTAACCAAACTCAACTTTCACAGACACAATGTTTAATCTCCATTACTTATGACTAATATACAAAAACCCAACTCAAATCCCGTGTACAATAGGCAACAAATTCTGCAGACAAGGATGAAGTAAAAGCAAAATAAAAAATGCCAGGCCAAGATGTTGCAAGCATAAAGTCTTAATTTTGGGAATTCAAATTGATTTCATCACTTGATTAAGAAAACAATACTCGTTTTCCAGAATAATTCCCTATTTCAAAAACGACCCGGAGGAAAACAAAAGCATCAACGACAAACTACCCAAGTTTCATCCTTGTTGTGTAACAAACTCAAATTCACCTACGGCTTCCCAGTTTCATCAATTTCTTCCGTTACTGTTAGAGCAGCAACCATGGCCATGATCGTGATCGCCGTCCTTGTTGGGACGATCACAGCCATCACCGTCGTCTTCGCTGTCGTCATGGTCGAAAGATTTCTCCTTGTGGAAGATGCAGCACTTCTTGGAGCTCTTTTTATTCAGAAATTCATTGTCGACCGTGCCTTCCTTCCAAGTGACCTTCTTCTTTCTCCGATTCAGCTCCATAGTTAGGATTAGCGGCTGTTGCTGCTGCGAAGAGGAAGAGGACGAAGAGGCCTGATCTAGGGTTACGGTCGTGGTAGCGGTCCCCGTCGCCGTCAACGGCGTCCGTTGTCTGATGCCGCTCATCGCTCTCACCGTGATAGCCTAACTCAGATCAGGCGTCTTCGCGGCTTTGTTGAACGACGCCTCTGAGTAATCGACATAGAAAATGCCGGAAGCTTCGTCCGGTTGCGGCCATTTTTTATAGTCGCTCTGGATTTAAAAAATAGGATTTATTGGTTGATAGAAATTCCTATTTTTAAACTCATAAAGCGTGTTAATTGCATATTCCAGTTTTATCCTTACGCGTAAAAGACTTTTCTCATTTTCGCTGGTTTAATGCTTTTTAGGACTAAATTGGGCAACATAGCATTTTTTTTTCTCATAAATTTTTTTTATGAAGATTTTGTATTTCATTTATGTTGGTGCACTCCTAATAAATAATAAATCCTTGCACGGCAAAATGAGATGCCATGGTCCTAAAATAGAAGGGTAATTGCGTCACTTTGCACTAAGAGTCTAGGCATGTTACTCATCAATTAAAAAATCATGAATACCTTTCACCTATACTCCGTAATGTAAGATATTGATTAAATTTGAATTTGAAAATTTTATTTTGATTATTTGGATAAAAAAATTAGATTTAAATTTTGTCAATTTTGATAAAATTTTATACAACGTGTTAAAATTCTTTCAAAATTTATATAATTTCGTAAGATTTAGACTTGAGAACATTTATTTTAAAAAAAATCTAAGTTATTTTTCTAACTCTTATCCCTGCCCATTAGAACTATGATTTAATGTTATACAATAGATATCTTTATAACATAAATTTAATCACATTAACCTTAGTTTTATGGTAAATACACTTATTAACTATTTAAAAAATTAAACTATTTGAAAATATGAACATAAACATGACTAGTCATTTTTACAAATATAACATTAAAGAAAGGGATATAAATTTGAATTTTGCTTCTTAAATTATGCTAATATGCAGTATTTCTAGTGCTATTTCATAAAAATATAAAATATTACTTTTATAATTTTTATAATTAAATTATATAAAAATCTATAATATCTAAAATCAAAAGTTAATTTCAATTAATTTACGAAGGAATGGCACAAAAAGTTGAAATAAATTAATATTGCCAACAAACTCACAATATTGACATTGAATCCTCTTTCAAAAAACTAAAAATAATAGACATTTTTATATGAATAATATATATATATGTATATGCATATGTATTTTAGTTATCAAAATACGTAGATGTGAAAAAATTTATCACACTTTGAAATATTTTACTATTTAACAAGTTAGTTTGACGAATAACTAATAAAAGTTGATTCATAATAAATTAACTTTCATAGAATAGTTAGTCTATGCCAAATCAACTACCATTTGAAAGTCAATTCAATCTAAATTGACTTTTCTAAATAAAAAAAAAAGGGTTAATCAGCAAAAGTTGCTTAGGAGAGAGCAAAAAAGAAGAAAAAATGGTGAGAAAGGACATGGGAAGGTGGCAGGGAGGCGGGGACATGGGTTTGTCAACTAAACTCTATTTTGCAGAGCTCCTCGTGTTCAATGGAGCTCCTGTGAACAAAGTTCTGTTAAGTTTGTCTATAGAGCTTACATTCGTCGGAGCTATGCGAAACAGAGTTGCTGGAGCTCTGTTTATAGAGCTTCATTAACTAAACACCCCAAGTTCGCTTCCAGCCTCATTCCTCTTTCTTCTTCCTCATTCCTCCTTCTTTCTTCCTCAGGAGCAATTTCTTTATATAGAAGCCAATTCTTTTATAATCAATTTTTATTGTCAATTAACCAAAATTTTGTGTATTTTAGTAAAGTTTTTTTACATTTAATATTTATATATATATAGAGAGAGAGAGGAGGAGGGGAGAGGAGAGCAAAAGAGAGGATTAATTAACATAAGTGTAAGTGTTCTAAATATTATATTGTTAATTTAATCAAAATATAATTAATAAAATCAATTATAATTATTTTTTAAAATATTAAATATAATATTTTATAAAAATCATTAACTGCAGTAATCTTCATTAATTATAATTATTTTCTAAAAATATTAATTATAATCATATTTTAAAATATTAATTATAACTATAATTAATATTATTTATTAAATCTATTTTACACTTGTACTTAAATTATTCGATATCTTCTCGCGTGTACAAGTCTCAAATATTAGCATTTATTTCACCGTAAGAAAAAAAAAAAAGATAAGCTGGTTCCTTTCCTATATAAATTGTGAGATGCGCACGTGCCCATTAAAACAATCCCTTCCAGGTAAAATAATAATAATAACAATTACAAATATATTACGTACTTTCGAATTGTAGAAGGTTCATCCGACAAACAGGTTATTGGCGTGGCGATGACGTGGGAGGTGCCGATTGGGCGGACAATGCTAATGGAAAACCGGCGGCACAGAACGCTCCACGTCGATCTCAAGTGTAGGGTCATTTTTGTTATTCTATGTAAATGCAAATGGCAGTTTGGAACTGCTGGTCTTCACGATTTATTCCCCTCGTTGACAATCCTTAGCCCCAAATTGCGCGTAGGTCTCAGGCTTTGCCCCTCGATTTCTTTTTCCTCCCGCGCGCTCTCGCTCTCTCTCCCCCTCCCTCTCTTACTAGATCCCTCCGCAAGGGCTGCCCGCAGGTAAATTTGCTCCATGAATATCAAATTTATGTTCGATCGTTTGTCAAATTCGCGCATATGTAGATTTATAAGTTACAATTCAACTACACAGTGAGTTATATCTGGTATACTTCTTTGAAAAACATTGCTTTTAATCGGTATTTTCGTTCAATTGAGGTATCGGGCGCTAGACTCGAGGTCTATGAGCTGATTCGGGATTTAAATTTATGCAGTTGATTTCATTTTCTGAAAAAAATAGTTCGGGTTTAATTTTTTTCTTTCAAGCTACCGGTTTGTTAAGCAGCATTTGATTTAATTCCGTTTGAGGTTATTCGTGTCCGATGCCGTGCTTTATCATTATTATTATTGTTATTATTATTTTGTTCTTGCTGTTTCGAATTGTTGGAAAATATTGCCTTGATCTGGGCGTCATGCCTCGAAAGCGCGTAGATCTTTGTTACTCGTCCTACATGAACGAGTATATAATTTTCAATTCATAATGGAGTTAGATGCGGTCATTGACGAAGTCAATTTCTGGCAGTAACATATTTCTTTGTTTCAGATCCATCAGATCTGGTAAGCTTTTCAGGTAATTTTTTGTCTAATTTATCACGATCTGTGACGGAATCGATAGGAGGGTTACTAAAGGGAAGTATTTGTTGGTTTGGCAATTCATCTGTTTCCACATCTCTCATTTTCTATCTCCCACAGTTAATCTCGCTAGATCCTTGCACAAAAGCTTTTGCCAGCTATAAGCAAAGTTCGTTTTTTCAAATTTTTGGTGCGCATATCCATGCATTTATTAGAAACTTGGAATATCCTTCTTAAATATCATTTATTGAGTCATAAATTTTCTCAATGAGGTCTCTAATGAATTTGATTGATTATCTGCTGTTATACAAATCGATCACAATGCTATCACATTTTTTGAACTCTCTCTCTCTCTCTCTCTCGCTAACACACACACAAATGCATGCACACACACGCATGAACACAAATTGCCAATTTTCTATATATTTGATTACATCTAATTTATTTTTGGGCTTTTTTAGTCAGTTTGGGATAAAGTTTTGGGCAGTATGGGTTATCAACTTTGTTTTGGTGATTTGTTTATCACCATTGTTTCTTTTTGTTCTGATATATAGATATTTAATATGATTTAACATGCAGTATTTATTAGTTCATATCAAGGGTAAATTGCAAAGAATGAAATATGTTTAAATCTGAATTGATGATGGGATTTAACGTGGTAAATAACCTAATTTTTAGGAGGGTGATATGTACTTAAATAACTGTAAATCCATTTGATATGGGGAAAGCTTGGGATAAATACATTCACTTTCTTGGATTTTGAATTTGATTGCAAAAGTTGATTTATTTGACTTTTAGTGGCTGACATTTGTTATTGGGGGATTGTGATTTGAATGTGTGTAGGGATCCACAGTAGAATCATGGGGTTGACATTCACCAAGCTTTTCAGCCGGCTTTTTGCCAAGAAAGAGATGCGGATTCTTATGGTTGGTCTTGATGCTGCTGGTAAGACCACCATTTTGTACAAGCTCAAGCTTGGTGAGATTGTGACAACAATTCCTACCATTGGTAAGCCCTGTACTTGAAGCAGTGGGCATTTTCCTCTAAAAGTGTATTGATAGTTACTAAGGTAATAAACAGTTACTATAGTTGTTCAGGGGGTGGAAGCCTGACTGTATGTTAGTTGATGAGGCCAATGCCAAGTCTGCTTGCATGGTTATAATTCATACCTCCCTAAGATGGCAGTGGAATCTGAGGATTTCTTAAGATATTTATACTTTGCGTAACTGAGAGTTTTAGATACCTGAACTGCCGAATACCATCATGGGGGGTATAGTGATTGTCCACTTGGTATTTGCTTGTTGGTGTGTTTTAACAGAAGTTCAAACTTGAACTTGCATCTCAATCATCAAATGTCAAATATTTTGAAGAGGAGGGTCTGTTTAAATTCCGGCAGGAAATTCTGTAGCTAGGGAAAAATTTTCCTATATGTTAGTTGACAGAGAAGCTAATTGCATCCTCATTATGGTAAATGCCTATAGATGCTCTCCCTATGGGATTTTGCATAATTGGATAAGCATACATTTCATTGGATGTCTTTACATGTATTTAGACTTGTGTACTGAACAAACTTGGATTCATCACACTCCTTTGTATTATATGATCTCCTTTATCCTGAAAGGTGAATGGCTCATGATCAGGATGCAGCTGGCAGTCTCAGCCTTATAACCGTTGTAATTGAGATGGTATTTCAATTGTTAGAAGTATCATGTTAGCTTTTGCTTAGGTGGAGATGTTACTGATGGAGTCTTTTGTTGGTTCTTTGTTACTAATGTGAAGCTCAATTTGTTGAAGTACTAGTTAATTTAAGTATCATAAGTTAGTTATCAATAGTATTTTTCTACATGGATGGCATAGATTTTATAGGATTATGATATTGCCTCAGTGATGCATATTGGTTCTCTTTTTATTTAAGAAATGATATTTGTCTGCAGGATTTAATGTTGAAACCGTTGAATATAAGAATATCAGCTTTACCGTGTGGGATGTTGGTGGCCAGGACAAGGTTTGGACTTCTTCTATTCGGTTCTTATTAGCATAGCTATTGCTTATGATATTTAACTTTTCTGCTATCCTAGTGATTGAAATACCATTGAATGCAGATTCGTCCATTGTGGAGACATTATTTCCAGAACACTCAGGGTCTCATTTTTGTGGTGGATAGCAATGACAGAGACCGTGTTGTTGAGGCAAGGGATGAATTGCATCGCATGTTGAATGAGGTACATTGTCATGTAGTCACTTCTGTGGTATTATTGTTTTCCTGTAATGTACTTGAACTTACTGAAGTTCTAGAAATGAGTTAATGCTCAGGGTGCTTTTTCTTATTTTTTTATTTTATAATATATAGTGTACTGAGTAGTGTTGGTGGGAATAATTCATTTATCAGTTTCTTCCTAATGTGTCTTCCTTGTCTTATCATCATCAACCTTAACCTTGAACTTTATGTTGTGACTGTTTAGAAGTAGACATTAGAATAAATGTGAATATTGAAATTCTGAAGGCATTTGGACTTTGATATAGCTGGCTGTTGCTTAAATGTGCTAACTCTTTTGAGCGCACACATAGGATTTGGTGGTACATGTCTTGGTACATATGCTCATGCTTATAAAAGGAGGACAGTTGTCATTGCAGCTGTATGCTTTCTGGTCTCTGTTTTGTGTTTTTTGTTGCTAAGAGATACTTGTCCAGCAATATTTTTCTGTTGGACTACAAATTTAGGCAAAAAAAGATTGTGAGGATGTGAGGACTAACCTTCTGGCTTTCTTACCTTAGGATGAGTTGCGTGATGCTGTTTTGCTTGTATTTGCTAACAAACAAGATCTTCCTAATGCAATGAATGCTGCTGAAATAACCGACAAGCTTGGCCTCCACTCTCTCCGACAGCGTCACTGGTGAACCTGTTTTCCTTTAATTTATTTATTTATTTTTTTTAATCTTCTGGTAATATGAATTGATAGATTTGTCTATGTTTTAAACCCACGCTCGTGCTGTTGCAGGTACATCCAGAGCACCTGTGCCACCTCCGGGGAGGGGCTGTATGAGGGGTTGGATTGGCTCTCAAACAACATTGCCAACAAGGCAAGTTCTTGGCTTGCCCTTTTTTAACACTTTGTTAAAGTGACTACAGATTCCTAGGGAGTAATACGTGCATTTGATGATGATTATCTTTTTTTGGTTGTCTACCATAAATTGAAAGTGGAGTGGGAATGGTTTTCTCTAAACTAACGTAAAGACAAAACTTTATAAATTTTGTACCAAGTTCAAACTTTTTGAAGTGGTTACAATTTGAACTAAGATATGGCCTTCTGAGAGACAAATAAGGACTTTGTGTCAGATTATCATTTATCTTTCTTTGGTTACAGGCATGAGGTGATGCAGAATGATCTTCGTGGAGTGATCCTGGATGCAGCGGTTTTTATCTATCTAGTTTCTTTGTTTTTCTCTATTATTATTATTTTTTTACCTGTGTTCCTTCCCTCTGTCACTTTCTCAGACAATTTGTGGCCATGGATTACATTTTTCAAAGGGCGATTCACGTTTCATTTGGGCTTTCGATATAGCTGTGTCTAATAGAATGCTTGGTATTTACATCCTTTTTGAGAAATTTAATGCGCATCATGGTTTTGTTATATTCTCTATTTTATTCACTTGTGGAATTTGAAAATTAAAGTAGTCTGATGTATAATGTCTTGGAAGTTTATTGGCACTAAATTGGGAGATTTTGAAGAGTGAAATATGGAGAAAGGAAATGCTATTATTGGCGGGCTGAATTCCCAACTGGATGGTTTCAGTGCCACACAATCATGGAAATCTATTATTTAGCGGGAGTGAGTTTACTCTTGGGCTTTGTGTCTTGTTATTTCGAATTAGGATTCTGGGTTGAGGGGTAGTTGGAGATGCTTTTATAATATTCGAAGTCGGATATAATAGATAAAAAAAGTTTTTGAAATTAATACATTGGTGGTTGAGAGATAAGTTTATGTAAAACGATGGTGGATAAAATTTTAAAATAAAAAGATTTATATCTATAAAAATAAAATTGATAACAATTTTTTTGGAAACTTTTTTGGTTCGTGTTCTCCTAACAAAACCGGCCATGGACTTGGCATGTTGAGAGAAGTCGTGTGGTGTGGATCTTGTGGGTCTCACCCTTGAAACCAATGAGGTGAATATGGGGGCAAGAATTGACCCTTGAATCGGACGAATAAGGATTGAGATTGCTTGTATTCGATGTAGCAGAAAAAGAGATTTGAGGGGTTTTGCAGGCTTTTGTTGCTGCGGAGGAAGGAGGAGGAGACCAGGGCGAACTCGGGAGGAGCCGCTTTAGCTGGAGGCTGGGGGTGGAGGTGGATGGCATCAAAAAAGATAATGAGAGAGAAAGGGTGAAGAGGATTGGAGGCAAGGAAGTAGGTGATGAGGGTGTAGTTGAGGTGGATGACACTGGGATTCGAGGGTAGGGAGATCAAAGAGAAGGTCGGAGTTGTTGGCGGCCAATGGGGGGAAAAGGTTAGGGCGGTGCAAGGAGATGCGATGGGAAGGGGAGAAGTTGCTGCTCAAGCACCACATTGAGAAGCCCTTCATTGTCGGCCACGATATTATCATTGGCACCTCTAACGGTCTCACTGCCCCCTTTGCCCTCGTTGTCGGCCTCTTGGTGCCAACGCCTCCTCCTCCATCATCCCTATGGCGGGCATTGCAGAGGGGTTCACCTCTAGAGTAAGGGAGCATACGAGAGAGAGAGAGAGAGAGAGAGAGAGCGAGAGAGCGCGCGAAATAGGTTTTGATTTTGTGAAGGGGAGTTGAGGAATTACAAAAAAGAAAAAAGAAAGTGAAGGTAAAAGAGTTAGTTTACTTATAAAATAATTTTCATTTATTTATAAAAGACCACTCAACACAGAAGCATCCCCTCTCTCGATTGTACAAATCTGCCTTTGCTTTAAAATTTTATTAGATTGAAGAAGTAGGAGCATAAGCCAAATTTAGGTCCTCAAACACCCTAAAATCACTTTCCTGCATTGGAAGTATAGACCAGCTTCTTAGAAGCAAACACCTAAGTCAAGCCTGGTGGAAGCCTTATTTTTTTTTTCTTTTTTATCACTGTCAATATTTAAGATTGTAATCTGAATTTGATCTAAATTTAATTTAAACTTTAGGATTTGCATTTGATTATTAGATATTTGACTAATTAAATTTGATTATAAATATTTATAATTCGAAATAAGTTGATTAAATAGTTTGGTTATTATAAACTTTGATAATATTTTTAATTAAATAAATAATCTTAGATATATATATAATATTAATAAATTTAAACTGATGGTGGTTAAATTAAAGAAATTAGAAAATTTAGAGACCAACGTAATTAAAGTAATAAAGTTAACATATTTAAGTGTAAAAATATTATTTTCTCATTAGATCAGATTTTTTTATTGAATATTGAATTATTTATTTGATTTATATATGTATTAATAAATACAAATTTCGTAAAATTTGAATTAAATTTAGATAAACAAATAGATAATTAGATTTGGATTTAAATTATTAGCCTGATTTAATATAACTTCAACCCATTGATAACTTCAATTTTTTAAAATATAAGCTGGAGTTTAATTAAAGGTGAGAATAGCTGATTTTGAGCCCTTCAATTGAGTTTGATGAATTTGTAAGTGGAGTTTGAGCTTACTAAGGCTTAGTTCAAAAAAAAAAAAAAAAACTCTGATTTAATTATTAGCAAAAATTACTTATTTTTATTTCATAATAATTATGTTTAGGCTTTTGAACACAAAATATTACGTAGTTATGAATTAAGAATTTGAAATTTACATATTTATATCAAACTTCTATATCATATAGTATATATATTATGTATGCATTCTATTGTATAAATTTTTTCTTTCACAAGAAAAATTTATTTGTGCAAGACAACCCGAATTACATCTAAAACTCCAAAAAATAATATGTAAGTCAAAGTTAAATTAAGAAAAAATAAAAATTTATGTGATTATCAAGTGGGATGATATTTGAGCTTGAGCCAACTCATACCCGATTGATTTCATATGCCAGGGGACGGGCCATTTTCGAACCCAAAAAAAATGAAGTGAAAGCACGCCAAGAAGTCACATCAAATTGTCGGTCATCTTATGGCCGATTTCTTTTCTTTTGCCAGTAAAAAATTATCCGGTCCATTATTGGTCGAGCCAAAGGTCTGTCTACCCGGCCCATAACGTACCTACAACTTCACTTTGAGATTTGTATATAAACACGTCGGTCTTTGATTTGAATGCCTAACAATCCCTATGGTGAGTAATCAACAACCAGAAGATCTTAAAGGCCACTTGTTGATTAACATCTTCTTTGACAAAACTTGCAATATATGTGCGACTTTTTGTCACGACTCGAAATTAGATACGTAATCAGCGCAAAGGTTAGAATAAATCTCAATCTCACAAGCTTAACAGAAAATACGGAATTTCACTGAACTGATAATTTGATATAAAACAAAAGGTAATCCAAACTGTGTTATATATGGAATCTAGAAATACAAATCTGACATAACTGAAATAACTAACTTTTCAAACTAATAACAAAAATAACATAAATAAAAGACTCCTCTTAGACAGCAGAATCCCACCGAGTACTGAACTCTGAATTTAGAAAAAAATAAGTCTGAATGTGAAAAAAAAATAAGGGTGAATTTACGACCCAGTGAATAATAACATGCATTTACGAGAACAAAGGACATGGATAATATAAGATCAAAATATTTTACCATTTAACAAATCTCTTACATTTTTCAGAAATTTTATTGTATAATAAATCATTTATAGATATCAGAAACCCTTTAGGTTAACAAAATCATTTTCATATATCAAAAATTAGAATTTTAGGGAGCTTGTAATCCAAAACGAAATATATATCGAGAAATAGGACGGTGACACACAGTCAGCCAGTAAACAGGGCGGCGACACACAGTCAATCGGTAAACAGGACGGCGATACACAATCAGCTAGTAAATAGTAAAGGTGTTTATGGTTCGGTTTGGTTCAGTTTGATACTTAAATTCAAACAAAATCATACTTTACAGTTTGTAATTTTTATAAACCAAACCGAACCACAGTTTAGGTTTGGTTCAATTTCAAGCCACGGTTTGTGATTTACAAAATAAAATGAATTAAATTCATTATTTTTATAAAAAATTTAACAGTGTTTTCCTAAAAATTGGTCATTTATTTTTTTTTCCAACATGTTTAACTTAATAAATTTATTATTTATTAATTAACTATAGTAGTTATATATTTTATAATAAATATATTTATGCTGTTTTATAGAATTTCACTACTATTAATAGAAATTATACTCTAAAAAAGAAAAAAATCAATTATGACAATGAACATAAATATAAAAGATAACAAAAATAAGAAATATACAGTCAAATAATAAAAATATACTATACATATAAATATAGAATTTTTAGTTTTGTATATATATAAATTATACGATTTGGTTCGGTTTATACGGTTTGTCTAAAACATCAAATTCAAACCAAACCACACTATATGGTTTGGTTCGGTTTATACGGTCTAATTGGTTTGGTTCGGTTTGTTGAACACCCCTAGTAAACAGGATAGCGACACACAGTCAGCTGGTAATCAGGATGACAACATATTAGTCTACTTGGATAATAGGATGGCAACATATTAGTCTGTGCGGATAACATGATAGCAACATATCAGTCTGCTTGAATAACAGAATGACCACATGTCAGTTATGCCGATAAATAGAAATCAGAAAATCTAGCACCATCACCCCTGCTAGATAGGGACTTGCACAGGTACAAATCAGTTTAACGTATACTGCCGTTAGTTGCAGTGTTCTAAAATCTGAAATTCCCTTTAAAACAATTTTTCAGAAATATCAGAATAATTTAACAGAACTTTACATTTTTCAGAATAAATAGAAACCATTTAACAGAATCTTCTAGAATCAAACAGATATAGTTTAACAAAATTTTCCATGTACAGAGTCAAACATAATTAACAGATATTTTGTTCCAAATAATTTTAGAAATTTCATATATGTCCCTTGTTTCACTTTTAAAATAGAATTTAATCAAATTTTCAGAAAACAGATATATCGTTTAAAATAAGAGTTTATAGCAATTATGAAAAAACTGTAAATACTCATAAATACATATTATTACTCATAGAAATGATGGAAATCGATAAATCCAATATCTGACAATATGAGCTCAACAAGAACCGTGCGAGCAAATCTAAGATCATAAAATAACAAAATATCTCAATTTATGCTTCTAATGTCTCCAAGAATCGTATAAATAAAATTTCCTAATCAAGGAATCAAATAAAATTATAGATTTTCGTGCCCAAACTCTTACTAAGGCCACTAAAGTTCTGAACCGGTCAAATGAGCTATGAACCGTATACCAAAGTCATGAACCAATCTCATAAAACATAAAACCAGGTTATTTAAACCCAAAATTATCATTTAATGTACTGAACCGATCATGAACCGGCCATGAAAGGAATGAACTGGCCATGAACCGACTATTAAAAGGCTGAACCGGCCATAAACTGGCCTTTAAATCACTAAACCGGCTATATATCAATCTCTATCACATTAAACCGGCCTTGAACTGGTATGAGAACCACTTAACCGGCCTCTTATATGTTGAACCAACCGATTTTATGTAATACTTCCCTTGAACCGAGCCTAAAACGACCTTATTTTTCCCAAACTGGCCTTAAATTGGTTAGTTTATTCATTATCCTAAATTCCTGTGTCTTGAATTGGAAGAGAACCGGTCGGAATCTATGTGAACCGACCAGTTTTCTTTTATTCTGCTATTTTTCTTATTTTTCCTTTATTTTGTTTTATTCTTATAATCCGGATCCTAGGTTTGGATCTGGTTCGGCAACCCAGCTAGAGGTCCAAAACCAAGTTGTTTTTTTTGGCCCAACCCAATTCTGGGCTTGCCCCAAAACAGAAAACCCAAACCCGAAGTGCAGCCCAAATCGATGCCCCTTTTGTGCCAACTCAATTCAGGAATCCAAGCCTAAACAGACTCGATTACCTTGATGAACCCGTCTACGCTACCCAATAATTTAGCAACCAAAATTCTCAAAAGTTTCTGGTTACTAACCTTGGATCCTTGTAGGCGATTGTTAGGCGACCCTCAAGAGCAACTTTCTTGCAAAAATTTTGCAATAATTTGGTCCAATTTGTGATCCTTTAATGCTCAACGCACAGTAATAGCAGTGATTGTCTTCTTTCAAAATTCATCACCAATTGTAGCTATTTTGTGAAACTAACCTAGGGACCTTGTTCTGCGAAATTATATTAACGTTCTTAGGCACTCAATTTGTCATCAACCCATGTGGATACTGCTGATTGATCAAGGAAATTTTCGGATTGCGGAAGCAGGAAATTTGGAAACAAA